AGGAAAAAAGTTCTTGTGTGCTATAGAAATGACAATACCATATATCCTGACACCTTTTGGTATTGGCACAGTTATTAATAATTGAGAAGGCAGGGGCACAACTTCATAGCCAGTTGATACATTAGGTGTGGAGGTGCATTACCCCAGTACCTTTCAGGGCATTAGGGCTACATCTAAGAAATAGATGAGAGTAGTCATGCTGCTTGCTCATTGGTTCAGAATAACACTGATATCAAAGATTGAAGAAGTTCAGAACAGTCTGAAAATATGATTCCAAAGGTGGTTAAAAATTTTTACATATAGAAAGATACCAATCTTTTATAAGGTCATGTGTATATATGCAGGTATGTATGTGTGTGTATGTATGTGTGTATGGATGCAATGGAGTTTTAAAGCCAGGACTAGATTAACTCCTTTGGAAAATGACTACTCAGAGCCTATCAGCACACATAATTGCTTCTTCTTTCTTTTATCTTTTTTATACTTTTCTACACTTTACATGGAATGTCTTAAGCAGCACATTTCAAATGCTGGTGAAAATATAGTAGAGTGTCTTCAGATCAATTTGTCAGGTCCCAACTAGTATAGATAGAATATGAAAGAAAAATACAGTAAATATCAGTAGGGATCTCTGACATCTGAAACTACCCACAAATTAACAGTCATTGTAGAGGATGCAATAAAATCACTTATCAATCAGCTTTTTATCACTGTGATAAAATACCTGAGATGAGCAAGAATGGAAAGATGATTTTTTGGGGGGTAGGGGGAGAGGTCTCAATCTGTAGTCTGCTGCTCCATTGCTGTGACTCCCGTGGCAATGCAGAAACACAGTAGAAGGGCAGAGACAAGCCAAATTGCTCACCGCACAGTAGACAGAAGCAGAAAGGAGACACAGGGGAAGATAGACCTTTCAAAGGCCTGGCCTCATCCTGGGAGGCTCACTTCATTCATCTGGAAAGTCATCAGTGAGTTAATCCTTTGACAGAATTGCTCATGAGCCAGTCACCCAGGAGTAGAATCACTAGCTGGACATCTGGGTTTCAAAATGTGCCCAATCAAGGCACACTTGGTTTATAAGTCATAACTATATGTAGATCACAAAGCAACCATCTGCTCTTTGGTGTCTCATTTTCTTATTGTGTGAGATTGTCATGACAACCATGAATGCAATGGGAGAACTGGTGCTTCATAGTTAAGTTATATATTTTAGCAGAACTCATAATTATTGGTATAACAAGGAGCAATGTATCACAGAGACAGTAGGACCTGGGAGAATGGAGCCAATGTATCCAGAGACAGTAGGACCTGGGAGAATGGAGCCAATAAATGAGACAGACTAAAATTTCATGCAATAACCAACTTTATTCAGAGTAGCAGATAATTTATACTGAAGGCTGAGAAAGTTCATGAGTTCAAACTGTATACAATAGCAAAGACAAGTTGAGCATGACAAATGTGTTTTTTCCAGAGAAGCAAACAAACAACACTTTAAACATCAATTATCAATAGTAAGTAGTAGTAAGCAATCTGAAATAAACCCAGTCCTTTCTGCTGCACTTGGAGGAGCACAAACACATTCTAAGAACATTTCATGTTTAAAGAAACAGATTCACAAGACTCTTGTCTTATTTTCTTGGAGTGTTCCCACAAGCACTCAAACTTCATGCACTCAGACTTCTCATCCAACTCCATTCTGGGCTGTGCCATGACAACAATATTAAGTCTGTTTCCATTCCTGCTCAGTTTCAGGAGCTTGTTGTTAAGACTTGTGAGTTGTTTATTTACTGAGTTTTAAGGAGCTTCCCTTTAGAACTTTCTATTATTTATTATTATTGTTAATTATTTTTATGTTATTTTGGTTTTCAAAACAAGGTTTCTCTGTGTAGCCCTGGCTGTTCTGAAATTCGATCTGTAAATGATGCTGGCCTTGAACTTGTAGAGATCCACCTGCCACTGCTTACCTAGTGCTGGAATTAAAAGCCATCATCACCCAGCAAACTTTCTGAATCTTAATGAGCCTCCCTCCAGGATGGAACATTTCAGTTCAGAAGAAATTGCTACACAACAGTGTGTGTGACCCTTTGAGTTTAATTCTGATTGACAACTTGAATATGAATTGGAGGCTATTCACAGGAGCATAGGCAAATAAATAATGGCTATATTACTGATGAAAATTACTGGTGGCTATATTACTAAATTATGGCTATATTACTGGTGACATGTCCTCACCCAGCAACTATTAACTGCCCATATCCTCAAGGAAGTCTGGGGTCTCAAGAGCTCCCTTTCTACCTGGAATGGAATGTTAGCTGTCCAGTCCCAATCTTGTGCAGGTCTTGTGCAGGTAATCACAGTGGCAGTGAGTTCATGAGTGACCAACCAAGTCAAGCCTGGAAGACATTTTCATGGCACTCTTCCTGTTCTCTGGCTATTACATTCTTTCTGCCCTCCTTTCCATGATGTTCCCTGAGCCAGGTGGTAGGTGTGATGAAATAATGTCCCACTTAGGGATGAGCACTCAACTATCATTTATTCTTAGAATTTTGACCAGTTGGGAGTCTCTGCATTAATTACTTCCCACTACAAAAATAAGTTTCTGTGCTTAAGAACTGTGTGTTCTGTGGCATGGTTCATGCCAAATTCCAAAGCAACCTTCCTGCAAAGGCCATTGGACACAGAATCTGTGTGATGCTGTATCCATCCCGGATTTAAACTAATTCAGGGTAAATAAATAAAAATAAAATAAAAAAAAAGAACTGTGTGTTCTACAGTCCTTAGAAGTCTAGAGAAGAAGATGGCCAACTCAGGATAATAATAGAAAATCCTAAACACTAAGGGCAGCTATTCTCTTCCTCCTCAGATTAAAAATCACTGGTGACACTGAAAAGGACAGCTGTGCCACCATATCAAGGGACAAAGTGACCTCTGAGAGCTGTGATTCAGACAACTTTTGGATCTGCCAGAAGGAACTGAAACATGAAAGCATGTGTAATGACTCCTGACTGTGAATGGCATCTTGATTACTTTACCATCCACACCAGATCTCTGCATCCAGCCTGTCTCTGCTGTCTGCCTCCCACTGCAGCAGTGGCACAATGCACGGACTCTGAAAGCACTGGGACTCTTACAGATTCTTTAGTCTGTAAATGCAAATGTACACGGACACAGATATACCTTTCTAAGAGAGGAGTTCTGTGGGAAGAAGCCCTGGCAGCTGAGGGGAGGGGCACCAGATTCTAATCCTGGAGTCTTTGTCTCTGTGCCCGAGACCATCTGCAGACACCCACAGAAGACTGTTTGAAAAGTCTCAATCTCTCCCTTATCCCCTCCAAGCCATCACACTGGGCTGTAGAACACTGATTTAAAGCCTTTGCTCTCGACCGACACCAGGAGCCCAGGGTTAAGGATTTGGGGGAGAGACTGACAAAGGTTTAAATAGCACCTACAAAATCCTGGGTAAACTGAGCTCTGGTCACGTTATGCCTCCACCAGGCCACGATGCTCACCGGCAGACCCTGAGCCAATGCTGACACCTTGGTGCTAGGCTTCTCAGCTCCATAACTGGCAGAGACTAGCTTCTTTTCTTTTAAAATTTTTGGTTTACATGTCAGAAAAGCAAACTAAGGTAACTTAGCTCTTCCTGCCGTCCTTATCACTCTAGTTTGCTCAACATTTCTTCCTTCATGCTTGGGAGAAATTAAGCTTTAAAAAAGATATATCTTTTAAATGCCCCCCTTTCTAAAACTTTGCCAAATTGTCTATGAAAATAAAAGAAGTAAGGCTATTGAATTTACTTTATAATGAGACATAAAATTTCTTTAAAAATGGGCTTCTACAAGCTCCAATCACTTCATTTCTTTTTTTTAAATTGGATATTTTATTTACATTTCATATGTTATCCCCTTACTCCATTCCCCCTCCCTGCCCAGGAACCCCCTATTCTATCACTCCTCCTTCTGCTTCTCTGCAGATGTGCCCCTACCTATCCCCCCCCCCCGACTCACACCTCCCCACCCTCAAATTCCCCCACACTCAGTGTCTAGCCTTCATGGGGACCAAGGATTTCCTCTCTCATCTATACCCAACAGGGTCGCCCTCCCTTATATATACAGCTGGAGCCATGGATCCCTCCCTAAGTGCTCCCAGGCTGGTGGTTTAGACCCTGGGAGCTGTGGTTGGTTGGTATTGTTGCTCTCCTCATGGGGCCACAAACCCTTTCAGCTCCTACAGTCTTCACTCTAACTCCTCCATTGAGAACCCCATGATCAGTTCAATGGTTAGCTGTGAGCATCCGCCTCTGAATATGTCAGACTCTGGTAAACCTCTAAGGACACAGCTATATCAGGCTCCTGTCATGCAGTTTCTGACATCCACATCAGCGTCTACCTTTGGTGACTGCACACAGGATGGATACCCAGGTGGAATGGTCTCCAGACGGCCCCTCCTTCAGTTTCTGTCCCACACTTTGTCTCCATATTTGCTTCCTTGAGTATTTTGTTACTCCTTCTAAGAAGGACAGAAGTGCCCCCACTTGGTCTTCCTTCTTCATGAGCTTCATGTGGTCTGTGAGTTGAACCTTGGGTATTTCAAGCTTCTGGGCTAATATCCAATAATCAGTGAGTGAATACCATGTGTGTTCTTTTTAATCATTCAATTTCAAATAGAGTTACTTAAACTGAAGTACATATTTTCATGATTTAAATAAATTCTCAACACCTATTTGCCAGGAACAAAGAGTTTTAATATTTGATAATAGTGACCTTCAATGTACTCAAAGAATAATTCGTTTCATGAAAACTCTTAGGAAACAGTTTACCTAGGAAACACTTTGGAGAAAAGCAGCCCTAGAAATCAATTGTTAACAACAGTGACCTTTTAGAAGGAGGCTGTAACTGTTACGAGCATGCAGCTAAGCAGATATGAGCAGGAGGCAGCCATGTAAGAAAGTAAGACACCAGGGGACTCTCCCAGTGACCACACATGCTACTGATGAATATGCTGATGAACAGGGAAGGCACACCTGTGGGGACATCTTGGTCCTGAAATAATTTCAGCAGAGTAGATAAATGAAGCTGGCTCCCCAAGGCAGCAACATGACATCAATATAAGAGAGAGAGGAAACCAAAAGACACTTTTCAAAAATCCACCATGCAGAGCCCAGAGGGCTGCCAGCCCAGCCTTCTCCAGTATCCTTCTGGAGTCTGCTATTGCTCTGAGTTCCTTTGCTTTGCTAAATAAACTTGGGTTCTAATGGTGTCTTAGCTGAACTTTTTCCTGAGAAAGACAAGAAGAGAGGAGCAATCTTTATCTGATGTGTCCATTAACTTTTTTGCCAACCTGACACCACATCTGGGAGGAGTGGATCTCAGTTAAGAAAACACCCCCATAAAACTGGCATGTAAGATAGCCTATCTAGCATTTTCTCAATTAATAATCGGTATGGCAGGACCCCCACTGTGGGTGGTGCCGCCCCTGAGAAGATGATCCTGGCATACAAGAAAAAGAACTGAACAAGCCAGGAGGAGCAAGCCAGTAAGCAGCCCTCCTCCATCTCCTCTTCCATTTCTGCCTCTAGTTTCCTGCTTCCAGGTTCCTGCTCCTGAGTTCTTCACCTGACTTTCCTTAGAGGATTTATTGTAAACTATAACTTGAAACAAACCCCTTCTTTCTCAAGTTGCTTTTGGTCATGGTATTTATCACAGCAACAAAAATCTGACTAAAATATCTGGTAATGAAATGATCCATGTGACATAGTTACTGACAAGCACGCTGACTAATCCAATTAAAAGTTTTGAGTCCTTTTTTAATGAATGGCTAGATCAAGAACGGCCTTGCGCCTCCAGAAAGTTTCTTGGTGCCTGCCTTAGGGTTTCATTGCTGTGAAGAGACACCTCTTTTTTCTTTTTTTTTTTTTTTGTTTTTTTTTTGTTTTTTTGAGACAGGGTTTCTCTGTGTAGCCCTGGCTGTCCTGGAACTCACTCTGTAGACCAGGCTGGCCTCGAACTCAGAAATCCACCTGCCTCTGCCTCCCAAGTGCTGTGATTAAAGGCGTGCGCCACCACCGCCCAGCCAGGAAATTCTTATAAAGGCAAACATTTAATTGGGGCTGGCTTACAGTTTCAGCGCTTCCGTCCATTATCATCATGGCAGGAAGCATGTCAGCCTTCAGGTAGACACGATGCTGGAAGAGAAACTGAGAATTCTACATCTTGATCTGAAGGCATCCAGGAGAGGACTGTCCTCCAGACAGCTAGAAGGGTCTCAAAGCCCACTCCCACAGTGACACACTTCCTCCAAAAGGCCACACCCACTCCTACAAGACCACACCCCCTAATTGTCATACTCCCTGAGCCAAGTACATTCAAACCACCACAGTGCCTGAGCTCAGGGTTACAGCATTTTAAAAGACAAAACCGTAATTACAAAAGTGCCAGGGCAGGGAATATTAGTGAGGGATTTAGTGTTGTCTAGCAACATCTGCATTCTTTACAAGGCTCAGTGGCATCTTGCAGATACTACATCCTATGTTTGAGCCATGGTCAAGGTCACAGACAGTTCTAAAAGTATCACCAAGATGGATGTGGCCGTTGGAGGTGGAAGGCTGAGAAGTGAACAGGCAGAAACATTGGGACAGGATGGTATCACCTCAGTCATCTGAGTAACACAATGGCACCATCAGAGCACACATCTGAAGGGAATGTTCCCATCAGTGAGCATGCGCACGCTTGCCTCGTGGGATGGCATTGCTAACAGCTTTCTAACACTGTTCAAGATTTGCTGAGTCCTGCTTGTTGGCTCGTGATTCACCCCACGCACAGATGTTGCATGTGAAATCAAGTAACCATAAAGACCACATTGGGTGGAACATTTTATGGTGACACCCAAGAGTTAGATTGTTTGTCTCTGTCTCTTCTTCGTCAACATTAATTCACTATTGGAGAGAATTCTACTGAGATCATCTCTGGAACTCCAGCTACGAAGGTGAAATCCCACCAGGAAGGTTTATAAGATATCGGGTCTGATTCCAGTCTCACAGGTGGTCAACACCTCCCCTGACAGACTCTGTTTATTGCCATAAAGTAACCATGACTCTAAGCCACATCCAAAGTGTGGTGTTCTAACCTCGTTTCCCATCAATTAAAAACAAAACAGAAGATCAATCAAGAATGGAGGATGGGGCAGGAAAGAGATAAAGGAATTTAATTGGTTAGTAACAATTAGCAAAAAAGCAACAAAAGACTCCCTCCTTCATTCAGGTACATACCTTACAACCTTAACTTAGAACTGATGCTGAGCAGGTATGACCAGGTACTGCCTCTCCCTATTAGTGTAGAAACTGTCCTCATAATAAATTGAAATAATCCAGCAACAGCAAGGACCTTCCTAATGGACTTCCCTGCGTCCCTAAACTGTGCCCACTTTCTCTTTTATCCACAGGCAAAGTGAATTTAGCATTAACAGTCGCTGCTTTCCTTCCCAGAATGTTTATTATTAAAATGATTTTGATCCAGCCTGGGGACCCATGCCGGGGACCACAACGTCTGTCGAGGGAGGAGGCTCAAGAGTTCAAGGCCAGACTGGGCTACATAGCAAGAGCTTGTCTCAGGAAGCTAAAGCCCAGCAAAACAAACGCTTTAGGGATGAATTTAATTTAGCTTGAACCGATTTCCAAATGCCCTCCGGCCTTGATGGTGGAAAATGTGAAAATTATCCATGACCTGGTCTTTTTCTTGCTAGTATCAACAGTAGCTCAGCAAATCCTTGTATTTAAGGGAAACTTGACCCAAATCATTTAACAATACGTAGGGGATAAAGTCAGTACCTTACAGAGATAAATGTGAAGCTATTTTCATATTGCAGACTATTTATAGAGCCAAGATATGGATTCAACCTAATCAAGCGCCGTGGTTGCATGAATAATAACAACGCACAGTTGAGTACTAGTTTTCTCAGCTGCGAATCAGAGCCTTGTGTCTCAGTAACGTTACAAAATTAATCAGCAAGAGAGTCGGGACTCCGACCCAGAACTCTCTCTGATCAATGCTGCAGTCTTTAGTCAGCTTTCCACGACGCCAATTAGTTCTGTTTTGTTTTGTTTGGAGGCAGGGTCTCTGGGTGGAGCTCAAGGATGGTCCTCAAATCACCTTGTCTCGTTGCCTCAGGAGTGCTGGGATTAAAGGCGGCTGAGATTAAGCCCAGCCCCACCACGCCAATTTGGACGTTGACTACTGTTGTGTGACTCCTCTCTGGGCTCCCTCCCTGCCTTCTGAGGCATCTTTGCACATTTCTCTAGATCCAGCAATAGAAGACGTTATCTTAGGAAGTTTTTACTTGCACAGTCAGTGTTAGCTCAAATTCAAAAGGGAGTCTGTCGCCACCTTGGGTCCACAAGGCACCGCTGCAACTTTGAAAGCAAAGTGCGGTGGGGAGAAATTTCACTTTTGCCCACCTGGTGGCAGGCCCTGCACTATGATAGATAGCCATAAAGCGAGTGATGTTTCAATCTAGCACATTTTGGAGGGATTTGTTCAGCGATAGATAGATAGATAGATAGATAGATAGATAGATAGATAGATAGAACTTTTGAATACAACGGACAATCAGAACAGCATTATTTGCTTGCTCCTTCGGCTTCAAATTCAGCGTCTGGGGCTAGCTTTAAAGACGCGTAAGCCTCTCTCTCTCTCTCTCTCTCTCTCTCTCTCTCTCTCTCTCTCCCTCCCTCCCTCCCTCCCTCCCTCCCTCCCTC